AGTCAGGTGGGGGAGGAGACACCCCCACCTTAGGGCCCTGGGATGGGACCTGGAGAGAGGGAGGGCTCAGGTCCCCCTCACACCCTGCTCGGGGGTTGTGCACTGCCAAGGATACAAGTAAACCCCACTGCTGGGGTCACGATGTGGGATCAGGGGTGGAGAAGGTGAAGGGGAGTGGACTCCTTATGAGGGACCCCTTCACAATACCTGAAGGGTATGATAGGTAAGTGGTGCACCTTTAGGTAAACAGTAAGTTAGTTGTCTCCAGACAGTGATTTTCTGGGGGTTGATTTTAGTTCCTTCTGATGGTCAGCTGTTTTTGAAGTGGAATATAGGCAAGTAGGTAGCTATAGGAATCCTTACATATTCCTATCAACACGTTTGATTGTTTCTGAAGCATCATGTCCATTTATGGGGCTACAATAGAAGAAACATATAAAAAGTCCAAATAGTACCTATAAAGGTCAAGTTAAACAGTCTGAAAGTGATAGCAAACACATACTTACACACACTAACTGATACAACTATTTCCATAGTTACAGAATCTGTGTGCTAAGCAAATGGAAGATTATAGTATTAGCATTACAAGGGGAACCCTTAAAATTATGCCGTCTTATAAAACATTACTTTTAAACATTTTTAAGGCTTTTTCTGCTCCTGCTCATGCTGATCTTTGTAAGCAAGAACAAAACTGAGGCTACAGGGAAATCAAAACTGACTGTACACAAACTGCTGTCAAATGCATAAAATAGACTGAAATGGATAAAATTATTTTATTAAAATTACTATAAAGGAAAAGTTAAGTGTTATTTGTCACTGTAGTAGATACAGAATTTCCCAATGGAAATGTGATTTTTCTAGTTGACGCTGGACCTTTATGAGAGGGAACCATAACCCCCCAAAGACCTCTTTCAGGTTTTTAATAACTTTTGGAGTAAAACTCTTAGACCAGTGGGTCTGAAGCTTCTGCCTTAGACACAAACACATTTTCCACTCGTGCCACATGAGGAAGTCCTATCATCTTCTATTGATAGTACTGAAGAAACAAAGCCATTGGAGAAAGGCTACATGCACCTTAATAATGCAGAAAAAATACTACTAGGTCCATGTGTGCTATTTTGAGCAGGTGTCTATTTGTAACTTGTGTAACACAGTGGGGCTTGGTCCCCAGGCACTACTGAACTACAAATACCCAGAAGCACTCACCGTTTGGTTATCCTCATACAGCTTCAAGTCATATCCACTCAGCTCCACGCAGAAAATTATTGCTGTAACCCCCTCAAAGCAGTGGATCCATTTTTTGCGCTCAGACCTCTGTCCACCCACATCCACCATTTTGAAAGTCAGCTCTTTGAAAGTAAATTTATTTTCCACAATCCCTGTGGTCATGTCCCGAGAACGCAGAATATCTTCCACTGTAGGGATGTAGTCCAGTGCTGCAATCCTTTCTAGGTCATTTAAATAGTATGCTGCGTTATCCTCTAGGTGGTACTCATTGGATCGGCGAAAGCAGTCCTGCACACCGGGGTCTGCCCAGAGCCGCTTCATGACTCCTAGAAGCTCAGGTGTAATCTCTCCTTTGCTTTCAGCTGGGCCTGTCAGGGCAAAAAGCTGCACGGCATCATAGGCCCTGTCAGGATTGTAGAACTCTATCTTAAGGGTGGCTAGCGCACGAATGATGCGTGTGAGGGAGTCAATGGCATTATAAATAATCAGGGGCTTGTATTCTTTGCAAGCCTCCAAGTTAAAGCCACCACTGTGAATGATTTTCATTTGCTTGACAATAGTACTCTTGCCAGAGTTACTTGTACCCAGGAGTAGGAGCTTGATCTCACGTCGTTGTCGCTGACTCTCAGAGCGCAGGTGGCGATCAATCCTGCGGGACCGCCGCGCTGCCTCTTTCTCCTCAGAGCTTTGCCTACATCCCATGGTATAGCAGACAGTAGCAGAAGAGGAGAACTGAAGATTCTGAGAAAGAGCTGCAATATCTTTCAATTCTTGTGCCAGGTGCACCCTGTGCGGGGCAGGGGGTGGGGGGGATCACTATCCAATACCTGATGGACCAATAGGCCTCGACCAACTAGTTTAGTCCCAGCAGGGGTGCAAACAAATGTAAAAATTCAACCACAGACAGATAGTCTCCTCAGTAGAGCCCATGGCACTCCCCTTTCTTGTGAATAAACAGTGGCACATTCCTGTTAATGAAAGGACATTTCCCTATTCCAGAGTGTGGCTGGATCAGTCAAATATTCATTTATCTTCTGCTTAATTATTTTGCTCTTTTCTGTCCAAAGGTAAGGAGCTGCACCTTGATATGCTCTTCTTTAGTCCAAGTTTTCTTTTAATTGTATTTTCTGGTTGCTATGGTGATGCTGCTAATTACAGCTGAAGGTCTGGTATGGATTTGTTGTATTTGTTTTGTTTCTCCCCCCACTTCTGTAGGCTGATCCAGTTCAGATCCATGAATCTGTGCTCTCCACCTGTCAAACAATGAGAGAAAAGAAATGAATAGAATTGGGAGACTTAGTTTCCCTTCTGCAGAACATACACATTTTCTCTGCACATTGTATTACAACCCTGACAGAAAATGAGTAAAGACAAGCAATAAAAATCTTGAAATACTGCAGAATTTTAGGGCCAGCTTGAGTCTGGAAACTTCAGAAAATGTGTACCCTGAACAATAGTAAATCAAATCCCTTTTTCTCTCCAGCCTTCTGTGTTTTTATTACCCAAATCCAGGCGAAAACAGTTCTGAGCTCTCTTCCAATTCTCTCTCAGCAAGAGCCTTTTCCTGCACGGCCCTGTTCCTGAAGCAAGAGTACATGAGAGAGATTCACAGCCACTTTCCCCCTCCTTGCATTTATATTGCTCTAACTCTTGATTGTGTGTACCCGATTCTTTTGTTTGCATTGAACATTTTTGTAAATAAATGATGAAATGAAAGGTGGGGATTGTTGGTATTACTGGCACTGAAATGAGGTTGCGCTCTCAGGATATCAACATTATTACAATGTGTGTGTGATGTGGTGTCTGCCCCACACTGTCCCTTTAAGGGTTAAAACCCAGCCCTGGGAGAGGGCTGGAGTGGTGGAGTAAGCAGCTGTGGCAGATATTAGCCAATTAGGGCCCAGCTGGGGATGTATAAATAAAGGCTCCTGAAGAGGTAAAGACTTACTGTTGCTCCAGGCAAGCTTCCAGGCAGCAGGGCCTGAAGTGAGGCCTGAGGCTACCAGGGCTGCAGGGAGCCCATCTACACCCATTCCCCAATGATGAGTAGCCATTACAGACTGCCGTTTGCCCCCGTGGCA